AACAAGCATGACGTCACCACACAGCTTGTTTACGCAACATCCCTCCCGGGAGGGGGAAAGCGGAGCCCCAGACTCACGACGGCTATCCACCCTATAGTTCTTTAGCTGATGTGATTGGCAACAGTTGTGTGTCTGGCTCCTGTTTTCCTGTCTCCAGCTCTGTGCCTTGTGATGTGGTGCTGTGTCCTTAGTGGTGCGCAAGCCAGGAGTAATTTAACTGGTACAGTACTCGGGCTGCAAGCGCCTAGGGTCACCTTCCCTAGGTGCCCTGTAAATACTGCCCTTGGGGCTTTGGGCCACTTTCCACAAGTCGCCTTTGGATCTTCCTCTGCTGTGTCTTTTGCTGCTCAGTGATTGACCGCCCTTGGAGTCAGCTGGGGTGTTTGTGCTCCCCTGTTTGCCTCTAGGTAGGGGAGTAGTTTTTGTCACTGGTTGGGGTGCGTGGTGCTGTGCAGCTAGTTGTCATCTCTCATGGCGGCTGGCTCTGTTCCGCCTGGATAAGTTGTCCTCTTGTGGGGTTTTCTTTTTGTTTTTCCTGCCTGGTGGGCGGTCTGCCTTTGGTCGGTCATACCCTATTGCCCTTTGGATGTCTTCCGCTAGGCCCCTGTGAGTGTACACGCCCCGGGGTTCAGCTTTAGCAGTTTGCTTGGTAGTTTTGGACAGTCAGTCAGCAGTAAGCCTGGACTTCCCTTAGCGAAATACCATGACTAAGGGCCCTGGGAAACCCCACGGAGGTTCAGTGGTCCTATGGATACGACCCCTGGGTTCCCCTCGCTTCGTGCGAGTTTGAAGGTTGCTGTGTCCCCTTGTCTCAGGGGTGACATTCACAACTTCTGCCTCTGTCATGCTGTCAGTTGAGTCAGTGACATCTTCGACCCAGAGTCCTGCAAGTTTTGTTGCTTGTTTGTGACTCGGTACACCCAGTCCACTGATGACTGTTTGGGTGCAGGCAGTTCAGGCATTGCATGCTAGGTTTAGGGTGCTGTAACAAGCAGGGTTGGTTGCTGACCCGGAAGCCCTGAAGCTGCCCCATTTTGGTTATAGGGACCCAGACTTGGGGGTGATGGTCGTTTTGACTTTGATTCAGTCTGCACCTTCTCGTCCTTTCCCTGCTGTGGTTTGTTCTGGTGTCCCTCCCTCCTTCCCTCCCTTGTGTCTGAGGGTCTGAAGTGTCTGAGGGTTTCATAGTCGGGGCAGGGTTTAGATGGAGTGGAGACTCGGGCAGTCGGGAGGATACCCCTTCTAGGGCGGCAACAGAAGCATTCGAGCCTGTTCCTCCTGCCAAAGCATGTTGGTCTCACCAGTGAGCCCCCTTCCTTCCTGTTTTTACCTCTGCCCCGGCTTTTTCTTGTGAAACCGGGCTTTGGGAGACGACTCGGGGCCCAGACTGTGGGGGTTCCCAGGGCTGGGGAGGGGTTGACTTGACTTGAAGGGAGGGAGGGAACCTTGAGCCCCGTTGGACCCCGCTTGGGTTTTTGTACTCTCTAAGCAGGGCTTGTTACAGGGAGTGGGGTTTTCCTCACCTCCTCTGCGTACCGGTTATATTTCATGTCAGCCCCTCTCTGGGTTTGGTTCCGCATCCCTTCGGGTCCATCAGTCCCATCCTTCCGGATGGTTTTATTACACGACCCAGATTACGTCTCTTTCATGAATTCATCTTCATTCACGTTTGGTTCCTCATTTCCTTACTGGGTTCATTATGAGGTTCCAGAGATGTCCTGGCTTGTGGATTGCCCTGTTTTGTTGTTGGAGGCTTAGGACATGTTTTGTTGGTCCTGCATGCTTGAGTGACGTGAGGCTCTGATGGTGGTTCAGGTTTACCTGGACCACCGGGGACAAGTTTGCACACTCAAAGCGTGCTTGTTCACCTCTGCCCTTCCTCGAGATGTTGGCATGGTGCAGTTTCACGTGCAGGTTCCCTCTCTTTCGGCTGCGCTGGTTGCTGATGATTTGCTCGCTCGTGGCTTGTTGGCTTCGGTCTTGCATTTCTTTTCCCTCCTGGAGCTGTCCTCAGATTGGCTTGAGGAGGATGTGGAGGTGCTTGGGTCCGTTCCTGGGTCTGGTGACTTAGTCTCAGCGGGGCATGCATCATCTGCCCTATTGAAGCTGTTTGTGCCTTTCTTGCGGGTTGCAGTATTTGTTCTTTGCTTCTCGTCTCGCGTATCGGCAAGCAGTGCTCGCGTCCTCTTTGGATTCTGCTTGGGCCCTGGCTCTTAGGTTTTTGTTGCCTTTTTGTCTTTGCCTTTTTGCGGATTATACGGTTGGGCAGTATCTGCGGCCAGATTCTTCCAGTTGTTGGTGTTGGTTCTCCGGGAAGCCCGTGGGGGGTCTTCCCGGAAGAGTCGTGCCAGGGATCAGGGTTCCTTCCGCCGTGATAGGCCAGTGGTGCCTGTTTCGGGGCCGACGCACCCTTCGGATCCGTCTTTGTCTGGTCGGCGAGTTGATTGCTGGGTTGTGGTGGCCCTTCTGCGTCTCTTAGGGGTTCGGGTTCTGCCATATCTCAACAACTGGCTAGTGTGGCCTACCAGCCAGTCCGTGTGTCTGCTCGCCAGGGATTTGTTTCTTTTCCAGCTCACCGGGTTTGGGTTCCTGGTGACCTGCAGGAAGTCCCGTCTGGTTCCTTTTCAGGTTTGGTCTTGGCTGGGTCTTATGTGGGGGGCTCTGATCGTTTCCTTGTCTCTCCCTCCAGTCTCTCTGCTTCGGCTGCAGTCCCACCTTCGCCTGTTTCTGGGGTGCTCCCGGGTCACCCGGCAATTGCTCGAAGGTTTGTGCTGGAGCCTGAACTTTGCCGTGATAGTCTACCCGCCGAGTTGGGTTTGGATTCATCGGCTGTTCTGGTTCCTTTGGAGACATCCCTTCTGTTTCTCTCGCGATCGCTGGGTTTGTCCTTCAGATGCCTTGTGTCAGCTGCTGCGTCGCTGGCTTCCTCTTCGGGTTTTTCAGGGTTCCGTGCCTTGGCGCCTGCCTGAGCCCTCGCTCGATGTGTTCACGGACACGTCGTCTCTTGGCTGGGGGCTTTGTGACCAGTGCTCAACAGGCCGACCAGGGACAGGGGTCTGGTCTTCCGTCAGGCACACAGTACAGTGCGGAAGTTCGCGGTGGTGTGGATGTCGCTTCGGAAGGTATGGGTCGCACGCTGATCGACGATAAGGTTCCATTCGGACTGCTCCCTGTAGGTTTATTGCCTGAACCGAAGGGGTTTGGTGTGGTCCTTGGCTCTATCGGGCTAGTTGCTTTGGATGACTCGTCTGTTAGGTTCTCAGGGTTTGGCTTTCCTGGCCATTCACATTCGGGGGGTTGCTAATGTCCTGGCAGATGGCCTGTCACTGTTCATTTCCCTGTCCACGGAATGGACGGTCGATGCTGACTTGTTCAGTTGGCTTTGCCAGACGTATGGGCTCCCGGAGGTGGACATCTTTTTGTCAGCATGGTCGAGGCGTCTCCCATTGTATGTGGCGCCCTTCCCTGACTGCGAGGCCATTGGGGTCGATGCCTTGCATCTGGACTGGTTAAGGTGGGGTTACCTGTACCTCTTTTTCCCGGTTCAGCTGTTGCTCGCTTGGAAACTTCTAGGGAAGGGTACCTCTTGGCTCCTTGGTGGCCAGCCCAGCCTTGGTTTCAGGCACTGCTTGCACAGTGTCGAAACCCGGGGGTCTTTCTGCGACTCTGCCTCTTTCAGCAGATTGAACCGGTCCGTTACGTGGCTGGTTCGTTCGTTCTCCTCGAGTCTTCGCGTCTGGTCTTGCTGACTCGAGTCTCTCACCACTTGTGTGGTGAGCAGGTGGCTTTGTTGATGGTGTCCCACCTGCTTGTTTCGTCACGGTGGCAGTATGTAGTTTCTTGGCAGTCCTTCTGTTATTTTTGTCCCTGCGTAGTTGTACTTCTGTTTCTGTTCAGGTTTTGTCCTTCCTTTAGTGGTTGTTCCAGGACCGTCATCTTACCGCCTAGTACTGTCATCTCGTATCGTGTGGCACTGGTGGAGCCACTGCAGCATGCGTTTGGCGTTAATGTTAAATCTGCGCCATTTTGCAAGCTGTTTTGTGTGTTGGTTCACCTCTGGCCTGCTCATGCACCCCCTGAGCTGTATTGGTCGTTGGACTGGGTGCTCTCCTTCTGTCTTCTTTTCTGGCGAAAAAATGAGACTGCTGCTTTCCGGAGGGGTCCTTGGGCTGTTGATGCTTGGTTGGTTCGGCCAGAGGTGCATCATGTGTTGTGTCCGGTCATGGCTCTGCCGTTACCTGCGTGATACATCCTCCATGGCCAGGGACGCGTTTTGAGTCGACCCGGTTTCCCTTCTTCCCTGTTCCAGGGTTCGGGTCTTTCAGTTGAGGAGCAAGTGCCAACTGCCTCCAGGGTAAGCCCCTCTTGTTTTGTCTTTAGCTCTGGGGAGCCAAAGGGGCTGCCACCAGAAAACCAGCATTGAATGTAATGAAAAGCCATTTTCTGGGTAAAACTGGATTAGTTGGGATTTCAGTAGCAATATTTTAACCAGAATAGGGGTTTGTTTTGGGGCTCTTACCTTTCTGGGAGCCTGACTCGCTCAATGGCAGACAGAATGCTGCCAACCACACGGGGGGTTTCTATAGGCCATTACTCCTCGTGCCTCTCTGAGGGGGGCCAGGTTCTGGCTCGTGGTCCCCGGTAGGCCTAAGTACTCCATTCACTTTGACTGGTCTAATACCATTCATATCAGCGTGGATAGCTCCCGGAGTGCCTCCTGGTCTCACCCAGAAAATGGAGTTTCATTACATTCATGAAATGTATTTGGTTTTGTCATTATTTTTCTTGTGACTATTCATAAATAATTTTCCCATATACAATACTGTTTGATAAAACTGAACAAAACTGGTTAACCAGTGTTATTATTTATAGTATCTAAAATGTATGTTTTCTCTAGATTGATGCTGACTGATCCTATAAAAGTGGGAAGGGTGGTAGCGAGAATGAATGTTGTATACTGTATATGAATGTGTAACACACTATCCATACAATTTTTAATGTACAATACTGTATTGACAGAGACATTGCGGATAGTTTTGGGGCTACAGGAATTGAATACTTCAACACATTTGGTGGCAATCCAGTTTCTGCTACAATTGCTGATGCCGTTCTTGATGTCATTGAAAATGACAAACTTAGAGAAAATGCAACATTTATTGGCAACTACTTGATACAGGAGTTTAACTCCATGAAGCAGAAACACGACATAATTGGTAATTTATTTTTTTTGTACTTTTACAATGCATTTTACCATTAAGAATTTTGTAATAGAATGACTTTTATAACTGCCCTGTACATAAATATGTATTTCAGTTATTTACACTCGTGTAACAATTTTGTTTTACCCCTAGGTGACGTACGAGGTCAAGGTATGTTCCTGGGAGTCGACTTGGTCAAGGATAGGGAGACACGAACACCTGCGACCGCTGAGGCTGCTTACATTAACCAAAGGTAACTTGTGAACAAAATCTTTTCAGTTAGTTTATATTTGTTTTCTGGAGGGAGCCTCTACGGCTCCCTGGGGCTATCCAGGCTGATATTAGCTGATATCCCTAACTTTGGCATCAGTCGATGTGGGTGGAGTTCTAGGCCTACCAGGGACCACGAGCCAGAACCTAGCCCCCCTCAGAGGCACAAGGAGCAATGTTCTATAGAAATGCACGTTTGATTTTGGAGCATTCTACATCTGCCATCGACCGGGACAGGCACCCAGAAAGGTAAGCGCCCCAAAACCATTCCCTATTCTGGTTAAAAACGACGAAAATGGACAAACGAGTAGACAGAACTCCCTAATGGAAAAAAGAGCAAACAAGCATGACGTCACACGAGCCACGCTGCATGTATGTGCAGCTCCCCCCCCCCCCTCCCCCTCTCTAGGAGGGGGATCCACTCTGCAGTTCTTTGGCTGATGGGATATGGCTTGGTCGTGTGTCTCCATCTCAAGATTCATGTGGTGCTGTTCTGTTTCAGTACTGATCTTGTGGTGGCGTGTGAGCGGCGAGTAATATTCACAGGTACTCAGGCTGCATGTGCTTAGGGTTACCTTCCCTGAGTCCCTGTAAGTACTGCCCTTGGGGCCTGGAGTTCTCTTTCACAAGTCACATTGGGTCTACCTCTGATCTTTTGCTGCTTGGCAATTGACCACCCGAGTCTTTTGGGGGGTTTCCACCCTTGTTTCCCTTGGGGTAAGTGGTAGTTTTTGCACTGGTAGGGGCATAGAATACTGCGCAGCTAGTTTTCACCTATAACAGCGGGCAGTTCTGTTCCCTCTGGGTACCCTGTCCTCTTGCGAGGTGTTTCTTTTCTTTTTTGTTTTTCCTGGTGGGGGAGGGGATCTGCCTTGGTGTTCCTTCCCCCTTTATATTAGGGTTGTTTTGTGTGGTGGTACCCCGTGCTTTGCCCTTGTGTGGACACGTCCCCGGGGCTCACCATTAGCAGTGTCGATTGGTAGCTTGGGCGCCGGTTAGCAGTACCTTGCCCGAGATAATCCTTAGCAGACCCAGTCTAGGGGCCCTGGGAAACCTCTCGGGGGCACTCGGGTCCAGTGGATGAGACCTCAGAGTCCCCTCTAGCTTCGTGCAAGCTTGAAGGTTGTTCTGCCCCCTTGTCTCAGGGTGACGCTCATTGTTTTTGCCTCCATGCTGCCTGTTGGGTCGGTGATACATTCGACCCGGGGTTCAGCGAGCTTTGTTGCTTGTTTGTGACTCAATTCACCCAATCTGATGAGATTATTAGAGTGCAGGCGGCTCGTGTGTTGCAGGATAGGTTTAGGTTGTTGCAACACGCTTATTCGGTTGCTTCCCCGATGCCCCAAGGTTTCTCCGTTTTGCTTATAGGGATCCAGACTTGGGGGTGTTGGTCGCTTCAGCTCTGGTTCAGTCCGCACCTCCTCGTTCTTCCCCTGCTGTGGTTCATTCGGCCCGCCCCCTCCCTCCTGCTTCCGGCTTCTAAGCGTCTAAGGGATTCGGGATCGGGGCAGGGTTTAGAAGTTTGAGACTTTGGCGGTTTCGGGAGTTGCCCCTTCTGGGGTTGCCCCGGAAACATTAGTCTGTTTCTCCAGCTGTAGCTTCGGAGTCTGACCAGTGGGCCCACTCTCTTCCTGCTATTTCGGCCGCCATGTCCTTTTCTCGTGAGGCCGAGGCTTAGGAGGATGACTTGCCCCCCGGGGCTTGACGTGGAGGTTCTTGCGTGACTTGGGAGGAGCTGACTTGGGGCCCTTGGACCCTGTTGGACCCAGCCTGGGTTTTCCGACCCCTCTGAGCAGGGCTTATTGTTACAAGGAGTGGGGTTTTCCTTCCACCCCTCTGCGTATGAGCTAGATTTGGGTTTGGCTCCTCCCCGGGTTCGGTTCAGTGTCCCTGCAGATCCTTAGGTTCTGTCCATCTGGAGGTTTTCGGCTTCCCGCGCCTCGCCTACGGAGGTGCAGGCGGCCATTCCAGCTTACTTCCTGCACGACCCATTATATGCCACTATAATGGATCCATCTTCATTTAAGTTTCGATCTTCGTCTCCATACTGGGTTCATTATGGGGTTCCGGGTTCATCCTGGCTTGCGGACTGCCCCTTGTTTTCGCTGGATGCTTGGGATTCCTTCTACATACCCGCATGCTTGAGTGGCGCAAAGCGTTGACTGTGGTCCAGGTTTACCTGGGGGAGGGCGACTTTGAGCACCTTAAAGAGAGTCTTTTCGCTCTTGCCCTTTTGAGGGATATTGGCACGGTTCGGCTTCATGTGCAGGTTCCTTCCTTGTCTGTGCTGGTGGCTGAGGACTTGCGTGCACGTGGCTTCTTGGCTTCGGTCCTGTGTTTCTTTTCCCTCCTGGAGCTGTCTTCGGATTGGCTTGCGGAGGATGTGGAGGCACTTGGGGCCGTTCCTGGGTCTGGCGACTTGGTTTCGGCTGCTCATGCGTTGTCTGCACTGTTGAAGCTGTTTGTGCCGATTCTGCGGGAGGCACTGTTGCGGTTTAACGCTGTGCGGCGTCTCGCATGTTGGCAGGTGGTGCTCGTTTCCTCCTTGGAATCCGCTTGGGCCCCCCTTGGCCCTTAGGTTGTCTGTCCTGTATTGCCATTTGATGTTTGCAGCCTCTGCGATCGAGCAGTACATGCAGGCTGCTTCTTCTATTTGCCACCCGATGTCTGACTTGTCTGTTCTCTGGGGGTCCGGGATGGGTTCTTCCCAGGAGTCGTGCCAGGGCTCGCGGTTCCACTCGTCCGGGTAGGCCACAGGTGCCGGTTTCAGAGCCGGTACCACCTTCGGCCCTGGCTGTGTCTGGTTGGCGCAGTGTTCGCTCTGCTCGCAGGTCGGGTTCTTGTAAGGGGCATCGGCCCTATCGAAAAGGGTTCGCCTCATTGATGGTGGAGGGGGGAGGCTTTCTCTGTCTTAAGATTTGTGTCGTGATCTTGAAAACGATCCTGAAAAGCCCACGATTTGTGGGCTTTTCGGGTCATTTCTCGCGGCCTGCGGTGGCGTTGGGTGGCTCCTCCTCCTTCGGGGGGTTTAGGGCTGGCAGGGCAGGTCTCTTCTCCTGAACTGTCAGGTCATCTTGGAGTGGGTGCGCTTAGGCGTGGTCGAAATGACTTCTCTCAGGTGGGTTTCCCACCTGTTTCAAGTTCCGAAACGGGACTGTGCAGACCTGTGGTTCATTCTGGACTTGTCCAATCTGAACCCCTGGGTATCTTGCCACTTGTTTCGGATGACCACTCTATCCCAGGTCCAGTTTCTGTTGGAGCCAGGATCTTTGATGGTGTCCCTGGGCCTCAAGGACACGTATTGGCCAGTCCTCATTCATCCAGGGTTCAGGGTGTTACGGCCCTATTGGGTCGCAACTGGGTTCTTCTCTGATGTTGTTAGAGTTTGGGTATCCGGTCCCAAGTTAGTAGTGGCTTTCAAGGGGTGTGTTCCGTAACGCAATTAAATTAAAGGGGAAGGGATACAAATGCACTAATTTAAATATATTATTTCACCACCACCATAAATATATCAGTCACACGGGGTTATAAATACACTCTAATGTACAGAATTGTCTTCCTCTGAAGACATAGGATGCTCCACGGTGCTCACGATGAGTAGCCCAGGTTCTCTTCTTTGGCCCACGAATAATCCTCCGATTCTCTCGGCGAATCTACCCTGGCCACAGGCCAGCCAAATCACAGTCCCACTGGGTGCACCGTCGTGGAGGCCTTCAACCACAAATCCAGCCTGTAGCTGGCGGGTTCCAATCAGCTCCGCTGTGTAGACCACTCCACGACCGATACTAGGGTTGCGAGCCCTAGGCAGGAGCCTCGTGTGATCCCGCTGATCACTCTCCTCTCTATAGCACCACAGTGGCTAGTCTCTTCCACCAGCCAACCCCCGGGTACGATGATTCCTCAACTCTGCCACGTCACAGGCAGGCTAACACACTCAGCAGTGTTCATCCGGGAGCAACTCACAGCTTCTTCAGCAAACACGTGGAGAGACTTTGGCTGCCTTGGGTAGACTGCCTCATCGTCCGATACAACAGTCCCAGGTCGACTCTGTAATCTATAGCAAATGCAAATGATCATAAAGGCAAATGGGGAGGGGAGGGGGGGGGGGGATATTCACAAAATCCCCGGCTTCCAGTCCCCATCGAGGCCTGAATTAGAGTGAAACCTCTGTGAACGGGTAGCGTGCCTGTGCTAGCCCAGCTGCACACAGCAGTGGTGGAACACTAAAGTAATCTTGGACAATGGATGACATGATCGAGTAGGTAGATAGGAAGTATGGTATTGCCAGACTTAAGTTAGTGGACATGAGGTACAAGGAGTGGCTGTGATAGAGCACCGTGGATGCACCAAGGATGCTTGAAGAGCACAGTGGTAAAATAGTCGGTATTACTGGGTGTTGTACATACTGTACACACAAATATACAAGTTATTGGAATACATAACAAAAAATGAAACTGCAGAAACTATTAGTGTGCTTTAAGAATGAGTTGAGGTGTGTGGAAGCATTTGTTATTTTGAATTGGAAATTTTTGTTGTATAATTATCATTATAATGTCCTTGTATGAAGAATGTCCTAATAACGTGGTTAAGGGATTCATAACAGAACAAAATTATCTTGTGTTGGGGGGTCTTGGGTCCCCCTGTCCTGGGTGCCACTGATCACCCTGGGGAGCACCTCGGTCCACCATGGGGGTGGGGTTCCTTCCCGAGCCCTTGCACCCGTAGCAAGTGAAGTAAACTCAATCCTTCTCGGTTTCCCTTTCTTGTGTATCGGTTGACATGGAAACTCGGGTCCCTCGATCGCGTTTGCCTAACATAAATCTTAAATCTCGCACTTAAGATATAGCCCACTGGTACACACAGCTCGGCACACATTACTCAGTGGTGGTATTATGAATTCCTCAGTATAGCGTGTTATGCTAAAGTATGGTGTGCAACAATCCAATTGCTCTAACCGTAGAGAAAACGGAGGAGAGAAAGCAAACACGCTAGTATAAAAATATGAAGATTTACTAAATCATAACTACATTGGCCAATGAGTGAAAAACTTCAACTGTTCCGGTAGAATGGCATCACTCATGGAAAGTCGCCTCTTTCAACTCTCTTCGCCATTACCTCGAAAACTGGCCGTGGCTGTCACTTTAGCACTTGTTTACCTTCTTTCACATGCATAAGTAACCCTGGCCCATACAGTACTTCACAGAATGTACTGCTCCAACATGTGATCACTGATAGTTCATACATAAAACATATACAGTATATTTATCTATAACCATACACACATGCAATGAGACTGTAAATCTTGCATTAAATTCAATATTATTTCTCCTTATAAGAGAAACTCCACCTAACTCAAGGGACAATGTGGAGGGAAAAAATATCTAATCATTCCACCACAATAGTCATGGATTCCATGTCGCGATGACAGTCATGGTCCGGTTTCCTCGTAGATCTGCTCCGTAATGACAGGTGGGGTCCGGCTCGTCGTAGGTTCAACGATGACTCGTAGGCTGGCTCGTCTTCTCCATCCCTCTTCTCCTCCCTGTAGCTCTTCCTTCATGCACACGTTGAAGACACTGCAGGCTGGCACTGCTCTCGGCTTCCTCCCTTGCTCACTGAATATGTTGCCTCTTCCGTGTAGTCTCGTCGCCAGTAACTATTTTACTGTTCAGTAGACCCAGACAGTTGTGCCATCAGCCTCACTCGACTGTCATTGCTCACAACACTGACGGGAACTGACACAGCCCCTCCCAGTGCCGACTCCAAGTGATCACAGATCTTGTTGGCCTCTGGCTCCTGGTGTCCTATTCCCACCAGCAAATCTCTGCCTCACAATGCTCCCTAGGAGATGACAAGCCCTCCAGGTCGTTTACACTGATAACTGCTGCCGAATAATCTCTTCCCGAGGCCTCTTTGCCTCCCAGAATAGTTCTCGAGCACACTTCCGCTCGGTTACGTCACAGGGGAAGCTCTGGCACTCGCTTCCCCGCCTTGAGCTGTGGGCGCCCGTCGACCTGCTACGTCACGGCCTGGGGGGCACGCCATTGGTCAACAGTGCCACACCCCTTCTACTGACCAGTCAGCAGATGGCTGGCACGGACCCTACAGTGCATTGTAGCCCTGCCCCCTTGGACGACAAAGCTCTTCTCCAAAGGGTCCCTTACGCCATCTTTTCCTGGCAAAAAAATGCCTAACGCCATTTTCAAAACCAACTAAAATCATAATTACCGTCAACTGACATCTCTGGCTTCTCCCTAAATTTAAAACTGTTCCCCCCCCCCATGTTTCAAAGTACATGTAAATCAGGTCAAAATGACTTATAAGCGGGATATAGGTTAAAAAAGTACTGAACTCCGTATCATTAGGTTAAGTCAAGGTTTACTAAATTTGTATGTTAAATGACTGTTTCATATTACTGTATATGAATATTTTGTTACACAGTATGCTAATATATGTCGTTCTGTATGTCTAAGTATGTTTCACATTATAAAATTGTAATGCATAGGTTCTTGCAGGTTGAAGGAGGAGCATGTGTTGCTGAGCTGTGATGGTCCACACAGAAATGTTCTCAAGTTTAAACCTCCTCTTGTCTTTAATCTTGATAATGCCAAAGAGCTTCTCGAGAAGGTAGACAAAATCATGACAGAAATGGAGACAGCTGAGGTAGGTGTGCTTCTAAGTTTTCTCTGCAGACACACTCTGGGGAGGGGGGAAGCTCAATTAGTAGTTAAACTCAAACTAAGCAGAAAGGTACAAAATAGTCACTGCAGAAATCCCTGGATTGTGTGACAATCATGCCAATTATACACAGTGCAGGAGGGCCAGGGGACATGTACTTGTATAATCCATGAACTTCAACGAAGCTTCCATAGATCATATGAGCCTGTTGAGGAAATTACAAGCACATGAAATAAATGGTAAAATATTAGAATTGATAAAACAATGATTGAAACAAAGAAAGTAAAGGGTCATCCTAAACGGAAATAAATCTGACTGAACAATGTGAAGTGTAGTATTAAAAGTTACATTTGAAAATACTGTCTATCAATGATATAGATGAGAATATTACAAACCACATCATCAGATTTACACACAATATAATGATCTGTGGTGAAATGTGAAGTGAAAGCAATATTGACACTTTACAAAGAGATCTTCACGAACTCCACAAATGGTCAGAAGACTAGCAAATTTTTACTATTGGCAGATGCATGAAGGGTATAACGGTGCTCATCACAGCTCTTATATCAGCAACAATGTCGTGCAGTAGCTTGATGCAGAAAAGGACCTGGGATCCACCAGTAACTGAAAGCTGCACATGTCAGAGCTGCAGTAAAAAAAACAAAAAAGTCATACCTTATAAATATTCAAATGAATCTTTTGTCTTAACCCTTAAACTGCACAACAACACATTGATATGGTGGGTAATTGCCTCTGAATTGCGCACCACATCACATGTGTGGGAGTACCACGCAAGATTTAAGTCACGTGGCTACACGGGGTTCACATCAGCTTCCTCAGGGCTCTTTTAAACAGACACCATTTAAAAATAAAAAATCGTGGGCAACATACCCGGGTGAGTGTCTCTCAGTACTGAGGGAGCCACCAAGGCGGGCGCACGCAGCATGAGCTCACAGCACTGCTGTTCAGCTTGTGAGCACAGTATCATCTAAAAAATGTAAAAATATATATGTAACTGGTATTACTTAGTGATGATAGTATTACTGAAGAGCCTGACTGTGATGAAAATGACCAGGATTCTCAAAGTAGCAGGATTGTTGGGATAATTTGTGCTGTGCATAGTATGGTGGGAAGAGAAATGCTGCTTCTGTAGCGTCATCTGCCAAATTTGTGTGGGTACCTGTTACTGTCTGCACTCACCATACCAGCTTAGTGGTGTGCTATGGTGAACACAAATGTAGATACTTATATATATATATAACGCGTATATATAGTGTAATAACAGCAAAAGGAGTATGTTAGGAGACGCCATTTTGGTGAAGGAGATGGCGTCATCTGCATGACTTTTCATGCTGTGGTAGTGGCCACTATGCTCTTTGGGCACCATACCAGCTGAGTTGTACAGTTATGGTGAACAAAACATGTAGATACTTGTATATCAGCTGTGTATGTAGTGTAATAACACCACAAACAGTCTAGTTGGAGGAGAAATGTTAGTGCATCTGGGCTTGAACCAGTGAGGGAGGGAGGAGGTACTAGCTGACTGTGAGGTGATGTCTGTCATTGTCCAAACTTACCATACCAGCTTAATTGTAAAGTTAGTTGTAAAGGGGGCCCAGGCCCCATTTTGCCCTGCTGGAGGTTTTGTACCCCTCGGAGTGGGGCTTGCAGTTCCTCAGAGTGGGGTTTTTCCTTCCCCCTCCCTTTGCGTTCGTTCGTGTTGGTTCGGGTCTACCCCTCCCTGGGTTCGGTTCCGTGTCCCTTTGGGTCCGTCGGGTTCGTCCTTCCTGGGGGTGCTTTTCACCCCTTTCCTCACCTTTTTCACACTTCTGCCGTGATGCTGTTCCCTTCATAATGGGATCCCTGCAGGTCACTTGGTCTGGAGTGTCTTTGGGCCCGTATGTGCCTCTGTGCGTTTGTGATTGCTTGTTGCGGTTCTCGTTGGTTCGTGAACTTCTTCGGTACTTAAAGAATTATTGGAATGTCTGTTGGCTTCCGGTGAAGTTTTCCTCCAGTCCTTTCTCGGCTTCGTTGGTCCCCCTCCATCCTCCTTCTCTTTAGATTCTGTTTCGCCGCCTTTTGTATTCACATCGTCTCTTCTTCCTTGTTTCAACATTCTTCATATTCATTACATGCACCTTGCTGGAGTAAGTATGTGTATGCACGACTGGTGTACGAACCGTACCACCCGGAAGATGGGTGTTACGGTTCATACATCGGGCGTTGGGGCCGGGGTGATCGTTTTGTTTCTGGGCGGTGTACACACGTGTTGGTGTTCAGCGTTCTTTCTCGCGGATTCTACACCATTTTCGCTCCTCTTATCTCCGGTCATAACCCCCTGGATACTCAGTGTTCTGGATTGTGTGTGTAGAGCGATCGTCTAGTTCTTTTCTCGGCTAGCGAGTGTGGGGCGGCTCTGCGTGGCGCCTCTTCCGCCTCTGTACTGCATGCACCTCGTCTTCTACTGGGCATGCACCTCTAGACATTCCTCACAAGGAATGCTCCTGTTACATTGCACAGCTCAGCTGTGTTGTTTCACTGTGTCGCTGTTCTGCAGGGGAGATTGTACTGTCTGGCGACTCTGTCGGCCCGTTGCTGGTTCTCGCTTTTGGTGGGGTACTCACCTAGTTGTTCTCTCCCAGTTGTGTTTGTGGGGATTGAGCTCTGGCTCTTTGGTCCCGCCTCTCAACTGTCATTCACCAGTGTACAGATTCCTGAGCCTACTGGACTCTCTTCTCTACATTGCAACTGTGTATGGTGTCTGCCTCCACCACATCACTTCCTAGTGCATTCTAATTCCTGACTACTGACACTGAAAAAGTTCATTCTAATGTCTCTGTGGCTCATTTGGGTACTCAACTTCCGCCTGTGTCCCCTTGTGCGTGTACCACCCGGGTTACATAATCCGTCCTTGTCTACCTTGTCACTTCCTCGCTTGACAGGGTAGAGTCCATGGCACCTAATAGGTTATCTTGAGGTAATCTTGAAATGATTTCGGGGCTTTAGTGTCCCCGCGGCCCGGTCCTCGACCAGGCCTCCACCCCCAGGAAGCAGCCCATGACAGCTGACTAACTCCCAGGTACCTATTTGCTGCAAAGGTAACAGGGGCATTTAGGGTGAAAGAAACTTTGCCCATTTGTTTCTGCCTCGTGCGGGAATCGAACCCGCGCCACAGAATTAAGAGTCCTGCGCGCTATCCACCAGGCCAACGAGGCCCTAGGGGTATTAGTTTTTTTTTTTTTTTTTTTTTCTTGGACACTTGCGTGTGTCTTGCAGTGACTTTACTTTGTCCATGTATCTTGTTCTTCCTTGTACTGTGGGTAACTGCCCTACATTTCGGTGCTTTTTGTTTAGTTTTTGGATCTCGATATTTGGACACTCCTTGGTTTCCCCAGTTCGTGCTTTGTGTCCTCCTTCCTTGACTTGGTCTCTGATCTCTGGACACTCCTTCCTTGCCTATCTTCGGTGTCTGGCTGCACGCTAATATCCATGGTGTCCCTATGTGTATGTGCGATCACCCACACCACACATTGTGGTTGGTTGTGTACATTGCGTTACCAGCTGCTACTTGGTTTGTATTTCGGTCTTTCCCTTGCTTATTTCTGTTTTTCCTCCCTCTATGCTATGCATGGCTGTGTATCATGGTCGGTGCTTATTGGCTATACTGATGTTGGGTGCTGGGGTGAGTCTCTGTCCATGTTCTGTTCTGTGATTTTGGCCTATCCCAGTGTTCAGTTTTGGTACAGAGTTCTTTCACTTTTTCCTTGTATCTCACTGCAGGCTTCTGTGTTGCAATGTCTGTTGGAGGTTGTGGACTTCCGGTCACCGCTCCTTCCCTACTGGTTCCTTTTCTTGGGACAAGGGTAGCAGGGTTTCCAGTCCTGGCTACGGTTTTTCTTTGTTCCTTTTCCGAAACGCATGTTTATTTCCTGCGGTACACGTCCTGGTAGTTCTCCTGTATACCTCGGAGATGCGTGCATCGTTCTTCCCTGCTGGAGCTGGTTGCATTGTGGGATCGCTGTTTTTCGCTTCGCGTCTCGCGCTTTAGTTCGTGGTGCTTGTTTTCTTCATTGGCCTCTACCTGGGGCCCTGGATCTTCGATGTTTGACCTTGTTGGTCCTTCAGGGGTCCTGGGGGAGGGTTCCGACCGGACGGGGCGTGTCTGCTCGCCCGGGTTGGTTCCTTTTCGGCTCGCCAGGATTAGGTTCCCGATTCCCTGGGGGCTGTTCCTTCTGGTTTAGCCAGCCTTGGTTTGGGGCGCTGCTTTTCTCGGTTTCCGATCCAGAGGGGCGTCCCGCGGCTCCACCTCTTTTTGCGGATCGGTCCAGCCCTGTATGAGGTTGGTTCGTTCTTACCCTCGAGTCTTCGTGTCTCGGGTTTTTGTCTAAGCGTTCTCATAGCTTGTGTGGGCACCGGTGGCTTTGTTGTTGGTCTCCCTCATGCGTGCTTCGTCTCAGCAACAGTGTGTAGTTTTCCTGGCGGTCCTTCTGGTTTTCCTATTGCTGCGAGGGGTTCTTCGGTCTCTGATAGGGTTGTCTTTCCCTTCGGGGTTGTTCTGGGACCGTCGTCTGGCGCCGTGTACTATCACCTCATTTTGGGTGCCGCTGGTAGAGCCGCTCCAGCTTGCATTCGGTGCTACTGTTCCTTCTGCTCCGTTCCGCTTGCTGTCTTTGGCGTTGTTTCGCCTCCGGTCTGCTCTTGCGCTTCCGGTGCCGTCGTGGTCGTTGGGCCGGGTGGTTATTTTCTTTCTTCTCCTCGGTTTGTTGTGATCTCATCGGTTTTGATGTGTGTGTGTTTTTCAGATCTTCTTCTGTTGGTGTTGACCTCTAGGGGCAGGTCGGGAAGTTTACGGCTCTCCTTCGGCGCCTGTGTTTTTCTGCCTCGTTTGGTTCTCGTGATTGGTTGTTCGTTTGATGCAGTCTCCTTTTTTTCGGGTGATGTTAGGGTCTGCTGCTTTCTGGATGGGTCCTTGGGTTGCTGCTTGGTTGGTCAGGCTGGGGATGCTTCCTTTGTTGTTCGGTTGCGGCTCTTCGCTGTTCTGTGCGTCTTGGCCTCTGGGGCTGTGGACGCGTTTTGCTTTGCTCGGGTTCCCTTCCTTCCCTCCTCCCTGTTCTGGGGTTCAGGTCTCCCGGCTTGTCTGCAAGATCTTTTCCTTTCGTCTGTGGTCTTGATTTCATGTTAGGCCATGTGGTGTCCGCCTTCCGGATCCTTCCCTCTTTTCTTTATCTATGGTGAGGTAACTCTGGGGAGCAAACGGGCTCCCCCCAGAAAACCAGCTTTGAATGTAAATAAATATTTATCAAAGAAGGCACCAATCGTTGAATGAAATGAAATCTCTCATGAATGAAAAATGCATCTCTCCCTACCTCCAGGTTGGCGGTGTTTTTTGCACTTTTTGACATCCAGCCTAAGAACTGAAGGTTGGGTCTCCGGCGGGTGGGTCTGGGGCTTCCCCTTCCTTCTCCCGGGGAGGGGGTGGGGGGGGGGGGCTGGGCAGGCAACAGTGCGGCGACATGACGACGTCATGCTAGTTTGCTAATTTTCGTTTGGGGAGTTTTGTCTACTTGTTCGGCCTTCGGTTGCAATAGTTTTACCAGAATAGGGGTTTGTTTTGGGGCGCCTCCCTTTCTGGGTGCCTGTCTTGGTCGATGGCAGACATAGCTGATCGCCTGAATGCTCCCTGAATGCTGAATGAACATAGAATACTCCCAACTACAGGGGGGGGGGGTCTCTATAGGCCATTGCTCCTCGTGCCTTTCTAGAGGGGGCCAGAATCTGGCTCTTGGTCCCCGGTAGGCAAGAACTCCATGCATTGACTGATGCCAGAAAGATATACATATCCATTCAGCCTGGATAGCTCCGGGGAGCCTCCGGGACTCTCCCAGAAAATGGCATTTCATTACATTCAACGCTGTTTTTTTTTATTATTTTTCTTGTGCATGGGCGTGTTGCAGGCTAAAATTGCAAGAGCAGCCCAGGGTTTAACCCTTAGACTGCGCAATACATTCATATATGATATGACAAAATAATTTAAAATAAGTTTTTAAAGCTTGCACAAACACTTTCCAATTTTTTTTTTTTTTTTGCATAATCAACTAAGCAAATGCTCCAACTTTGTCTAAATGATCACAGTATAACTTGAAAAACAAGAGAATCAAAAATAATTTAAAAAATGAATATTGAAAACTTCAGATTTTCAATTCAAAATAAAAAATATGAACCATCATTAATTGTTCATTTAATGTTATTATTCTATTATAATAGCATATTATCTTCATTTTCATTAAATTAGAATATAAGTTTTCAGTATCGTTTACTGTAAAAAAAATTGTAAAAAATAGGGCATTTGAAATATGCGGCAAATTTAGACCAAAAAAAAATTATAACTCCAAATGTATTAAGTTTATGAAAAATCCATTGTGATGGGATTGTAGAAGAGACAGCAGAGTACACTGTCAAAATAGTGAGAATCTGTTACTAACTGGAATTTTAGAAGCCACTCAAAGTTGAAACTCTGGTTTGAGATAATTGAAGTTGAAGTTATCAACAATGAATAAATTTAGGGTATATTTTATATAAGTGAAAAAAACCCTAATATGATCCCTAATCAAAACAACCTAAAGAGACAAAGAAAATATAATTTGAAATCAGAGAAAAAATCGGCCAAAAAAAAAAAAAATAGTCCCCAAGTTTTACGAGTTTGATTTATTTGTTGACCAATTCCATTCTATCTTCACATAGGTTTAGAAACCTAAACATTCTCCAGGATATAAAGTTTACAACAAAAAATCAAATAATAAACCAAAGAGTAAAAACTAAAATCTTAACACAAAAAAATCCCCTAACAAAAATATTTTTGGGACATTGATGAACGTAACATATAAATACGTTGTCCAATGTATTTATATGATATATAACAAAATAGATCATGTTAACGTAGTTATTCATTATTTGTTACTATGTATTAATGCTATAAAGGCACCAGCTGCATATCCACTTTGTGGACACTTTTTACTACTATTGTTCTTTGAGCGTCGGACAGGTGCTTGCATCTCTTTATTATTGCATAATCCTTCAGTTACAATTATTAGTTGTTGTTTTCCTTATCAATAAAACGTTCTTGTTTTTCAAAAATTCGTCTAAAATAAATTTCGAAAATATTTTGATAAGTTTCACTACACTGAAGCCAATAAGTTGGAGATTTGTTTAACATTTTAGTTATTTTTACATAATTCGAATATTTTTTGCTGCTATAATCCCTATATTCATGGAAATATGCATGGTCTAAGTGTTAAAGAACAAGAAAATTATTATTCATGTGTAAAAGTGCCTGGTGCATCATATCTGAACTACTGTATCCAAGTATGGAGAACTCTCCTTCAAAAGGATATATGTGCATTGGAAAAAGCTCAATACATACTAACAAAACTCACCACAACCAGTTCAACTCCCATAATGTATTAGGAATGATTGAGGGCCACAAGACTAACACTGATAACTAGACATGACTAGGCTTATACCTTTACAGTAATATATAAATTGGAGGATATTAATCCAGGCATCATCTTTCAAATGTCAAATGCAACATGCACAAGAGACAACAGCTTCAAGCTCAACAAGCCACAAAGTAGCACAAAAATAGGAGAGCTTTTTTCAACCATAGGTTTATAAACACATGGAACGCCTACCCATCTAAGCCGTGAATGCCGAGACATTACTTTGGTTCAAAACCCAAATAGAAACAATCCTCTGGAACAATAGTGGGGACCTTTGACAAGCCTTCGACTTCCTGTCCCTATCAAGGCCACTAGTGATGGTGGCCCTCGGGTAAATTTAGTCAATTTGGGTAAATGCCTCTGCATTTTACAGGTAAATCCCTTAATTTTATTATGTAATTTAGTCCTCGTCCAGGTCACTGGGGTGAGTAAGCCAAGGAAGTTGCTGATGGGAGCAGGCCCAGAGATAAAGGGTTGAGTTTAAGGAATCTTCTGTTTTTTGGGTTGAGATTCAGTAGTTCCCAGTTTCTCATGTCATGGGTATGATAGTGTTCAAGTGTGAGGGGGTTTCTTTATCCCAACCTTCGGTGTAGTGTGGATTAGGTTAGTGTATTGAACAGTGGTCTTCAATTGATTTTCATTGGAGGATTCAGTGTTTTGTTACTTCTTGGTTCTTGGTAGTGGGTTCATCTGATCCCCATGAACTTTACCCACCACACATTGCATTCAACTTTTTATATCTTGACAATGCAAATAAAATTTTGCCATACTTTGTAGAATTAGATCACGATGAATAATAAAATACTGAATAGGATTCTCACTGCACAAACTTTGCTTGTTAGCAAAATATCAAGATTGCTGTAATTTTTAATTCTTCCACATCTACAATCACACTGTTAGGGTACAGTATTTTTTAAGAATGATACATTCTGATGGCATACAAAGATTTTATGGCCACCATTGCATGCTTCCAATATGTGATGTGTGGAAAGAAGTGATTTATTACCTCCTTCATGGAGTGATCATTCAACCACAGTACTGTAACTTTCAGAATTGTTAAGTAATGAGTGTCAATATATATTATGGCTGCATGTTTTAGAATCTTAGCATTGCAAATGTTCATATTGCAATACCTGTATAACATACTGATAACATCCATTTACAGAATGAAATAACTGTAGCAGTAAATTCCTCCGTAAATGAATCTGTAGAGACTCCTCGCCAAAAACCCCAAATCTGCAATGGTCATGTCAGTGAGGTTCAGGTAGAAGGTAAGCCTTAGGTTGGGTGAAATGGTTTAACCTTATTTTGTAGCCTGACATTAAATATCCATGCAAGTTATATAATGATTCTTTATGGGGGGAGCCCCTTCGGCTCCCCGGAGCTTACTAGGCTGATATGCTAATGTCAGACTTTGGCATCAGTCATGTGTGTGGAGTTCAATAGGCCTACCGGGGACCACTGAGGGGAGCCAGAACCTGGTCCCCCTCAGATGAGACGAGGGGAGCAATGGACTATAGAAACCCCCGTGTGGTTGGAAGCATTCTATGTCTGCCATCAACCGGGTCAGGCACCCAGAAAGATAAGCATCCCGAAACAAACCCCAATTCTGGTGAATATATTGCTACCAAAAGCCGAACAAATGGGTAGAACTCCCCTAAACGAAACGAACGAACGATCATGACGTCACACGTCGCCGCGCCGCTGTCTGCGTAAGTGAGTAAGGTAGCATCTGACTGCCTAACTCCGGTCGATGGCAGATAAGTCTCGGTAATTTGAACGCCATAGACTAATGCCCCTGTCTAATATATTACACATTAGCCTGATGACTCCAGGGTGCCTCCGGGGCTCACCCAGAAAATGGCATTTCACTGCATTCAACGCTGTTTTTTTTCTCAGAGGGGGCGCTGGGAAAGAGGCTTGCTATGTTGGCCCACACTTGGTCCCGCATTTCGTGGGCTGTTCAGGTTGTGTCCTCTGGCCTGTGGTGGCGTTGTGTGGCTGCTCCTCTTCTTGGGGAGGGGGAGGGGGTCGGAGTTGGTGGGGTAGGCTTTTTCCCCATTGTTCTGTGGGGTCCTATTGTTCCAGTCCTGCTACGGAACTGTGCCAGTGTTCGGTTCATTCTGGTTTTGTCCAGTCTGTACCACTGGTTTCCTTTCAGATGTCCCATTTCCAGCTTTTTTTTTTTTGGGGGGGGGGGGCCAGGTTATTGGGCGTTGTGTCTGGCCTTTCGGGATGCGTCTTGGTGTGTCTTGCTTCCTCCGGGGTTCAGGGACTGGTTCGTTTTCATGATGGGGTGGCTTGCTTCTCATCTTCATTGTCTTTCTTTTGGTTCTTTTGGCACCTCGCGTTTCCGCGTCTTACCATGTTCGTGGTGGACCATCTACGTCTGCTTGGTATTCGGGTTTTGGCTCACCTCAATGGCTGGTTGGTATGGGCTTTCAGCCAGTCTGCTTGTCTGCTCGCCGGAGGGGGTGGTTCTTTCCCGTTTGCCGGGTTCGGGTTCCTGGTGCACTGGGGGGAAGTCCCATCTAGTTCTGTCTCGGGCTTGGTTCTGGCTGGGTCCTGTTTGGGACTCTCGGACCGCTTCCATGTCTCTCCCTCCGGAGGTGTTGCTGCGGTCCCTCCTTCGGCTGTTCTAGGGGTGTCTTGGGTCACCCGGCGGTTGCTCAAGCAGTTGTGTGGGAGTCTGACCTTCACCGTGCTTTTCCTCATCTTTGGTTAGGTAGCTTTAGGGAGTTGCTCCCCACAGAAATCCAGCAGGTTTTCCTGGGGGGAAGAAGTTTGAGAACCTTAATGTGTGCTTGTCCCCCCCCCCCCTGTGTTTCCTCAGGATGTTGGCCTTGTTCAGCAGCACGTGCAGGTTCTCACCCTTACGGCATCTTTGGCGACTGAGGACTTGCATGTTTGTGGGCAACTTGGCCACGGTCTTGTTTCTTTTTCCTTCTCAAGTTGTCCTCGGACTGGCTTGGGGAGGATATGGAGGCTTTGAGTGTCAGGCCCTCCTCTGGGGCACTGGCCTCGGCAGCTAGGGCATCGGTTACGCTGTTGAAGCTGTTTGCGCCGACACTAAGGGAGGCAATGTCTCTCGCCTCGCATGTCACTAGACTGTGCTCACTCTCTCCTTGGAATTTGCTTGGGGCCTGGCTCTTAGATTTTTGTCCCCTTTCTGTCCTTTGCTGTTTGCGGAGTTTGCTGTCACTGTTTGTCTTGTCTGGTTGTCGTCCTTTATCGGATTTGTTGCTTCTCTGAGGTGGCCGTTCTTGGGCATCTCAGAATGGTCGTGCCAGGGCTCAATAGTTCTTCCAGTCGGGGTGGGCCTATGGTGCCAGTTTCTGAGCCGGTGATTCCTTTGGAGCTGTCATCGTCAGGTTGGCGCAAGGCTCGCTCTACTCTTCGGCCGGCTTCTCGTATGGGATGTCAGCCCTTTCGCGGGTCTCCCCGTCGATGGGGCGATCGGGGCAAGGCTCGCACTGTTTGCTCACGCCTGATCCCATGATTTGTGGGTGTTTTGGGTCGTGTCCTCCAGCCTGTGGTGGCTTTGGGTGGCTCTGGGTACATGTGGATCCTTCTTAACCATTCTCTATACCTGTGGGCTATAGGGATGGATTTTGTTGCTGGGGCCGTCCTTAACCGCTTCTCATGTCCGCGTACTGTCTTCCTATTGGTTTTGCTGGATAGGTTAGGTTAGGGCTGGTTTGTCCATTTGGTTTGTCATTGTTTGCTACTTCAAGGTTTCAGGTTTCAGTCCAGGGTTAGGCTACCTCTCTTAAGGTCGCCCTTTCTAGGTGGTCCTTCAGGAGCTTGCCTCATTTCCATGCTATCATAGGTGCAAAGGACTGGTGCAAAGCTACTCCAGGTTGGGTGTTTCCCGTGTTATCCTTGAGCCACTGCCATATCCCTGCCATTTTTTCTTGAGGTGGGGCCTGCAAGTCCTGGGAAGAAAAGGGATGGCAGGATCCATCTCTTCTTGTCTGTTCATGGTACTGTAGGTAGGAGTAGCTCCACCCTTGTTTTAGTGCCGAGTTTCTCTTGTGCTGACTGCATTATCCCCTCCGGATAGCTGTGGTCCCTAAACATCTGCCATAAATCCTCCAGCTGGGGCTGCAAAGTATTTTCCTTGCTATTGATTCTCTTTAGGCGTGGTCAAAATGACCCCATCCCTCAAGTGGGTTTCCCAACTGTTTCCAGTACTGAAACGGGACTGAGCAGATCACAGTCCCGTTTGACTGATTGGCACATGCCGATTCATCCAGGGTTCAGAGACTGGTTAGGTTTCGTTGTGGGACGGCAGGCTTACCACTTTTGTTGCCTTTTGTTGTGGCTAGAATCTGGCTCCTCGTGTATTCACACATCTTACCTAAGTCATGGTGACCCGTCTGTATCTACTAGGGGTTCGGGTTCTGGTCTACCTCGACGACTGGTTGGTGTGGGCTCCCAGCTGTTCTACTTGTCTCCTTGCCAGAGGTGTGGTTCTTTCCCAGCTCGCCAGACTCGGGTTCCTGATGAACTGTAATAAGTCCCATCTGGTTCCGTCCCAGGCTCGGACCTGTGGGACTCTTGGACTACTATCTTGTCTCTTCTTCCGCCAGTGTTGCTGTAGCTATGGTCCCGCCTTCAGCTGTTTCTGGGCTAGTCCCGGGTCACTTGGTGGTTGCTCAAGCAGCTGTGCGGGAGTCTGAACTTCGCCGTGCTGGTTTACCCAACGGGTCGGGTCTGGCTTTGATGTCTGTTCTGGTTCCTTTGGGGACGGCCCTTCTGCACCTCTCACTGTGAGAGGGGGCCTCTTTGGGTGTTGTCGGTTGCTGCGTCGCCGGCTTCCTCTTCAGGTTTTTTGGGGTTCAGTGCCTTGGCACCTACCCAAGCCCTCACTTGATGTGTTCACAGATGCCTCGTGTCTCGGCTGGTGTTTTGTGACCACTGCTCAAAAGGCCGACCAGGAGTGGTGGGCTCTGTCCTTTCGTCAGGCTCACAGCACGGTGCGGTCGAAGGGTTCGGGTTGCTCGGTGATCTACAAATCTGGTTCGATTCGAACTGCTCTTCAGTGGTTAATTGTCCGAATCGCAGGGGTTCTCTTCGGTCCTTAGCTCTTTGGGGCTGGTCGCTTAAAGTAACTCATCTACTGGATTCTCAGGGTTTCCGTGCAGTTCATATTTGAGGAGTGTCCAATGTCCCGGAGAACAGCCTGTCTCGGTTCATTCCCTTGTCTACGGAATGGACAGTCGACGCTGACTCCTTCAGATGGCTCTGCCAGGCGTACTGGCTCCTGGAGGGGAGGGCTGTGCGGACAAGTAGCACAGCAGTGGTGTATGGCGTTTGCTTGTTTACCCGTTTCTGTAGTTTGGGAGTTCTGCGCCTCTGTTCAGTCTTCGTTGCAATTTTTTACCAAGTGGGATCTGTTTTGTTATGCCTACCTTTCTGGGTGCTTAACCCCAGTTGATGGCAGTTATGGAATGCCCCCAAGTACAAGAGGGTTTTCATAGGCTATTGCTCCCTGTGTCTCTCTGAGGGAGCCAGGTTCTGGTTCGTGGTCCCCGGTAGCCTGAACTCCATTGACTGATGCCCCAGATTGCTATAGCATATATCAGTCCGATAGCTCCAGGGAGCCAACGGGGCTTACACAGAAAATGACATTTCATTACATTCAACGCTGGTTTTTTATTTCAGTGTGATGCGTCTGCTGTTATAGCCTCGAAGGGTGGAGCAAAGCAAAAGATGTAACCTAAATAGGGTGTAAAGGAAAACAGAAAAGCTACACCTATGAAAGTTAAACAAAAGTTTCAAAACCAGTCATGTGTAGCTTTCTAAGGCTTCAGTGTACACCACAAAATACATAGTATTTTGTGTATAGTACACTGTATTTGTATACACTATATTGTGTGTGTAGTACGTAGTATTTTCAACAAAAAAAAATATATATATAATATATATATTAAATAATATGGTAAGTTGTTTTTGGTCTGTTTTGCTGAAGAGATGTTTAAACAATATATTAAAACAAATTACCATGTATGAGCTTAGGCTATATATGTAGTAAGATGGTTATTTAAATAGCAAAACAGTAAATGTGGCTTTAATTATGTATTTTCCTTCTTATTTTGTGTAGCATGCTTTTAAAGTGTTAGTTATCATTGCTTTTAAAATTCATATTTATTGTAACTTTTCTAAAAAAAAAAAATTAACAGCTACTTTTACATAAATTTAAGTTAAACTTCACACACATGTACTGTTGCACTTTTATGTTCCAAATATTTTAGTTAAATAATTACTATGGAAGTATTACATGTAACTATTATTCCAATTCCATGCACCATGTTTATTTATCAGTGTACAGGAATTGGTTTTAGAAGACAGATATATATTGTTAAGCTTACAGAGCTTAAAATAAGGAATCATGCATTAGCAATAATTCTATTCAGCTTTGATATATTATAAAGGCTAGCTGCTGTATATCCTCTATTAATATTTTGCTAAATGTTTTTTTAATTATATGAATGAGAATAAAAATGTAATCTTGTAGTTATTGTGTGTCCATTTACCAGGTAAACATAAGACCCACAATAAAATGACACTTGTTTTAGTACATAGATCTCAGTCCTGAAATTGAAATAAGTTTACTGAGGTATAAATATACACAAAGGGACGAGATGACCCAAGCAATTCTTAGATTAAGGACCTGCCCGAAGTGCTGCGCGTACTAGTGACGTTACAAGAATGTAATTATTATGCTGTGTGTCCTCACAATCCCAATGTACCTTGTATATATATATAAATAAATAAATTCTCACACTGTTCAATACCTGTAAACATACACACCCATCGCAAACAACTGACATATTGCCAAACATTCTGGTTGTTAACATACACATTTCTTCCTTTTCACCTGCAATATGATACCAGTCATACACACAAACACTTTTATAACTAGGTACATTGACATAAGTTACAATAGACATTCAGACACTTCAACAAGAGTTAAACCGGCCACAGGGGGCCGGTGGCTGACTGGACAGCATGCTGGACGCGTGATTCTGTGGTCCCGGGTTTGATTCCCGGCGCCGGCGAGAAACAATGGGCAGAGTTTCTTTCACCCTGATGCCTCTGTTACCTAGCAGTAAATAGGTACCTGGGAGTTAGCCAGCTGTCACGGGCTGCTTCCTGGGTGGGGGTGTGTGGTGTGGGGAAGGGGTCTGGGGCCAGAGTTAGATATTATTCTAATAGAAGCTTTGTGTTGGGTAATTAGAGGACGTAAATGATTTTGGGTAGTAGAACCCCAAGCACAAATACCATAGTTGAGATAAGAATAGATGAGAGAGTAATAGTCACCAGGGCAGGGCGAGGTACATATCTGATCTTGGAAAGAATGCCAACAGTTTTAGATTTTTTTTTTTTTTTTTTTTGTGTGCTATATTTAGAATGTGTCCCTGAAAATTCAGCTTGTTATCGATGAAGACACCAAGGAATTTACCATCAACTTTACTACCGATTTCCCCCTCCCTGTTCAGCTCGTTGTTGCCGTGAGGGGGCTTGGTGGGCGGCTGCCGGAGAGTGATGCTCCTTGGGACAGTCCTCTGTCCTTTTGTAGCTTTGTGCTCCTGCTGCTGTCCTCTCTAATTGTGCTGAACGACTTTAACTTTTCCTTCCATTTCGTTTTTCTTCCCCCCTTCTCCTATCTGCTTGTCATTTCCTGCCGACCTTTTGCTTGTTTTGGTTATTCCTTTGGACTACTTCTATTTTAACGCCCGGGTGCTTGAGGAGGCATACTCTTTCACCCGTAGAACTGTAGTACCCAACGTCGAGAGTGAGGGGAACCTTTTATTGTCAATCCTGCTTTCGTCACTGGGCCCGATCTCGACGGACTGACGGTTCTTATGGTGGCGTTTGTGGGGCGTATGCTCACAATGCACCCCTAGGGGGCACTGACATGATTGACAATAGCTTCTTGTTGGGTGTCCTGCCTCTAATTGTGGCTCCATGGTGAGTGTGGGGGCATATTCGTGAATGAATGTTTTTCTTTCGTACTCATGTCGAATTCTGTTCCTCTTTTGCCTTCTCAGGCTCGTGGGGTGGGCGACCAATCCCCCGAGTCAGTCCGTGTTGGAAGACCGGGCTCTGTAGCCTCCATGCATTGGGCTCCGACCTTGCTCCTCCTTTGGCCTTTCTGTCTACTCCCCTCGGCTCCCCACCCTCCTCTGTGGTTGGGTCGAGCCCCAAGTGGTGACTACCTTGTTCCCTGGCACGGCTCAGTCTCTCGTTGTGACTATTGCGCCTTTTAACCCCTCTCTCTCTGGGGGTTCTCAACGCCGTCCTCGACACGACCGCACACGCTCGATTCCTTCCCATACTGATGCGTATCAAGCCTTGTTTGGTCCCGCCTCGTGGGCCAAATACTTTGATCTCCTCCATCTGGATTCTACGCTTCCTGACGATTTCTCCCTTCATAGGCACCTTGTTGATTCCGTAGATGCCTTTGTCACCTTCGACCCCATCCGTCTCAGTACATGTGTCATTGCTGCTCCTTCTCAGGATGCAGCCTCCCGCTTGGCTGCCTTATCCTGCCTTGGTGAGACCCTTGTTCGGGTCTCCAAGAATGCTCAGTTGAATGCCAGTGTTGGCACTATTATCCTCCCGCCCCATGTTGCAACCAGTGTTTGGAATCTGCAGGACTGCCACAATGATATTCGGCATATCCTTGAGGCCCAAGGCCGTTCTGTCCTCCAGGTCGACACGTTTACTTGTCCCCCTCGTGGTCGTCGCCATCAGCCCCTTCAGGTTGTGAAGATTACCTTTGATGGTAGAACACTTCCGCCCTCTGTCATTCTTGGTGGTGCCAGGTGCTCTGTCCAGGAGTACATTCCCTCCCCTTGGCTCTGTATAAGTGCTGGAGATTTGGGCATGGTGCCCTCTGCTGCTCTGAAACTCTGTCCTTTGTGTGAAGGCAAAGGTCACTCTAAGTTGGAGTGCACTTCTCCCCAGGCTCGCTGCCTCAATTGCAGTGAGGCCCACCCTACCTTCTCCTGTGTGTGTGTATACATTACAAGCTTGAAGCAGCCGTCCTCAACTTGAAGCACCGGGAGCATTAATCTTTCCCCGAGGCGAGGCGCCAGGTTCGCCGGTTCCTGCCTTATGCTAATGTCTCTTATGCTCGCGTGTTGCGCTCTTCCTCTCCTCGTTCTTCCCACCTTCCTCAGACTCACAACTGTTTCTGGGCCTTGGACCCTGATGCGCCCACTGCCCCCTCCTCTGTTCCTTTGAGTTCTGTCCCAAAGGGTCTCCCTCCTGGTCCTCTGTCTGGGGTTCCCCTTCTTTCTGCCCGGTCTGTCATGTCTCCTGTGTCTTCTTCCTCGTCTCCCTCCGATCTTCCTTCCCATCCTTCTCCTCCATCTCTTGGCTCTCCCTGCCGCCTGTCGGTGCAGGCGGATGTCCATCGCTCTCCTAACGGCCGTCATGTGTGCTCTCGTTCAGTTTCTCCTGTTGAGACGCTGGAATCCGTCGCACAGCACGTAGTTGCTGCGACACCTGTCTCTTTGTCAGAAGCGTAAGCCTGGCTCCTCTCCTCTCCTCCTCCCCGGCGGGTAAGAAGGCTTCGCTTTCTTCCTCAGCCCCTACTTCTGACACTCTCGCTCCTTCCCCTCCCATTTCGGTGGTTGAGCCCCGTTCCTGCTATGGAGGTTTCTTTGGCCCCCGCTTCCCTCTCAGTTGCTGCCCTTGCTGAGGTACGCTCCCCTCTTTCTACCCCTCCTCTTCCTGCTGCTGTTCTTGCCTGCTACTCTCCGTTGTCTCCTCCTCTTCCTCCTCCTCCGGACCCCGCCCGTCCACCTCTGGTTTGTTCTCCCACTTCCTTTCCTCCGTCTTTGCTCAGTTTACCCATGCCCCCTAACCCTGACTTTGCTGACCCTGATCTTCTTTAACGTGCTATGTTCCTCTTTCACTTTTGTTTCTTCCTTGTTCTCTGTTGTTGTCCTTTCTCTTCTCGTCGATGTCTATTCTTCAATGGAACGTTCGAGGTTATTATGCCAATTTCCTCGAACTCCAACTTCTGGTTTCGCGGTTTTCGCCCCTTTGTGTCCGTCTCCAGGAGCCGATGCTTGGTGCTCGTCCTGGTCGCTTTCATGGCTATTCCTTTCTCTTCCCCCCCCCCCCCAGCTGTTGCTGGGGCTCCTAACTCTTCTGCTCTCTTGATTCGCTCGGATGTTCCCTTTGTCCCCTTACTTTTTCCTTCGCCTTTCCATTGTTCTGCTGCTCGTATCTTTGTGAGAAAATGGTACACAGTTTGTTCCATTTATCTACCCCTGAGTGTCCTGCTTTCTCTTCCCGATCTGAGACACAGCCTGGACTCCTTGCCGGAGCCTGTGTTCCTGCTGGGTGATTTCGATTGTCGTCATTCCCTTTGGGGTGATGTTCTGACGAACACCCGGGGTCACCTTCTTGAGCCGTTCATCCTCTCTTCTTCCCTGTCTCATCTGAATTCGGGTGAGCCCACGCATTTGGACTTTCGGACTCGCACCCTTTCCTGTAATCTTTCTCTTTGCCCGTCTTCTCTTTACTTGGTTTTCACATGGCAGGTTCTGGATGACCTCTATGGCAGTGACCATTTCCCCATCCTTGTTACCTTTTTCTCTCTTCACCCTCCCCTCTCCTTCCCTAGGTGGCAGTTTGCTAAGGCAGACTGGAACCTATTTACCCTCAGTGCTGCTCTCTCTGAGCTCTCCCTTCTGCCTCTCCATCGCTCTCTACTCCTTTTTCCAACCCGCTCTCGCACAAGACAGCAAATATATGACTTATTGCTTATAGTCAATATTTTGCCTATGAATTAGTACATATGTTGTATATTCCCAGTTATATTTTTTAAAGACCCAAACTCTTCCTCACGTACCAATTTACGTCTCACAGTACCCGTCCACCGCCGTAGATAGCAGAATAGTCGTGATTGGTTCAATTATAATGAAAATTGTAGTTTTCAGGTCCCACATATATGGGTTGTGAAATTGACCTACTATTGTCCATGCTCTTATAATATTACAGATCAGCTACATCCTATTGAAGGCTCGTAGTTTTGTTTTGAGAAATATTAGCTGTTCTTAGTAAATTATAATAAGCACTATAATTTATTACATAAAATAAGTGCTTCACCAGTCAACATTATATACACTAGTTTGTGTTCTAAAAATCTTTAAAGAATGTATTGTACGAACGTCAACAGAAAACGGTTACGTTGGAATGTGTATGGGGTAAACTAACTACTGCAAACAGGATGGTATAGTGTCTACTACCTACTGTAGGATGGGTATAGGGTCCACTACCACCTCTTAGGTGGGTAAGGGGTCCATACCACTTGTAGAGTGGGTCTAGGCCCAAAAACTGCCCATAGAATGGGTATGGGGACCACTACTGCCCACAGGATGGGTTTGAGGACCACTATTATCTAAAGGATGAGTATGGGGTCCACTACTGCCCACAGGATGGGTACATGTTCCACTTCCGCCCAAAGGATATGTGTGGCGTCCACTATACCGCCC